TATTATTATTAATAACTTTTAAAATTTCTTAAAAATTTTTTTAATAGAGGTACTGGAGATTGAACCCAGGACCTCGTGCATGCTAACCACGCGCTCTACTGCTGAGCCATACCCACCCCACCGCTATTTCAAAAACTCTTAGAAAGATAAGGTTGATTAGGCAAAAAGTTAAGGACATGTGAGCACTTTATCTCCTGTGGGTTCGGAAGACATCCGAATCAAATTCTGTTTTATGAAAACATTTTTTTAAATTGCCGTTTTCAAAAAACATTATCTGGCCCACAAACTTGTCCTTAGGATCAGGCTGCATATTCTGCAGAGCAGGAAAACCGAGGCTGGGAAGAGGACAGCCGGGGCATCTGTCTACAGGGTGGGGCCCTTTTCCTCCCCTCCTCCGTGTCCCCCCTCCCAGGGCAGGGGCTTGGGGGAGCTCACCAGGACCACCAGTCTGTTCATCAGAAAGTCTAGCTTGGTTCTCTTCAGATGGATCTTGCCGCAGTTCTTCATGATCTTTGTATCAAAACCTGCAGGGTTTTCATCCATCCTTCTGTCCATCCATCCATCCATCCCTCCCTCCCTCCATCAGTCCATCCACCCATCCATCCATACATCCATCCACTTACTCACCCATCCATCCACCCCATCCTCCATCCTTCTGTCACCCTACCCCCCACCCACTCATCCATCCATCCATCCCCCCATTCTCCACCCCTCTGTCACTCCACCCATCCATCCACCTGCCACCCATCCTTCCATCTACATACAAGCACCCGTTTTTTCCAGTCAAAATAAAGGTCCTGGCTCAACATGTCCATTTGCACAGTTTCGGAACTGAGAGTCCAGAGAAACCACGTCAGGAGCCCCTCATCACACAGCGGCAGACCCTTGGCAGCTGGGCCTGGCCTTGTGAATTCTTGCCGATGACTGCAGGGTTCTCACCACCCACCCCTGACCGGGGGCCATGCAGGACACCGCAGGGGCGGGCCCAAAGTGGCCGTACCAGCATAGATGACCAGTCCATAGCAGGTGTCCGTGTTGCGGACCCTGCAGCCCCGCAGGAGGATGTTGCCACTGTCCAGGGGGTGCTTCTTGCCCTTCCACTCTAGGCAGCCCACGAAGCGGTGCATCCGGCTGTTGGGTTCTTCACACACCACTTTGCCTGTGGGCAACCTGGCGGTCAGGGAGTCAAGGGCACGGCTGGGCCCAGACATCCCTCCCCAGTGGGGGACCCAGGGCATATTCCCATCACCCCCAGTCAGGGCCCTGCATGGCCCCAAACCAGCCCCATTGGCACCTCCACTCCCATGCACAGCCTCCTCCTGGAGGCTCCAAAGCTGGCCCTTTCTGGCCTCAGGGCCTTTGTGTGTGCTGTTCCCTGTTCCCACACTTATACCTCCTCAGGGAAGCCCTCCTTGGTCCTCCTGCTAGATCAGGTGCCCCCCACTGAACCCCTTCCTCATGGTTGTTTTGTAATAAGGCTGGACACTGCCTCCACTGTCACGTTGACCTGAGGGGTATGCTATAGGCCTGGAATAAGCCCGCCCATTAAAAGCTATCCCAGTCCCAAGGGCCTAGGAATAAACAACACCTATGACAATGGGAGACAACTGGAAGCCTCCTCAACCCCCAGCACACCCCACCACCACCTCCAACCCAGTAAGCTGGGGAGCCTTTGCACCCACCACACAGGCGGCCGCCATGGGGACCTGGAGTGGGGAGGTGGGCGGGTCGGCTCTCACCTTGGAAGGCTGCCATCTTCTTTATGCTGGTCAGCTCGTGGTGGGTGATCGGCAGGGCCTGCCTGAACTTCAGATTGGTTTCCCTGGTGACCAGAAGGGGAGCAAGGCGAAAGCTGGGGCAGACAGCGCCCGAGCAAGTTCCCCCCCACATCTTCCCTGAGCACCTATGGGTGCGCTGGCTGCCAAGCAGGAGGCTGAGGCCCAGAGAGGGAGAGTACCTTGCCCCAGGTCACACAGGGCATTTGCGAAAGGGCCGAGGCCAGACCCTAGGCCTCTGTGCTCTGAGGGCGGTGGCCCCTGGCACGCTGTGGAGCTTCCAGAAATGTACAAGGAAGGGGTGTCCCTTCCTGTGGTTTCATCTTATTGCCCCTGCTGGTTCACGAGCGCCTCATCCAGGCTCCCAGGACCACAGCCTCCCAGTGGGCTTGGCAAGCAGCTCTCTGGCCACTGGGGAAGGCCTCACCCCCAAGGCCCAGTGATCACCGGCCTCACCCGTCAATGTCAGCTGTCTCCACGTAGCACAGGCTGCTGGGCTCAGTGCTGGCTAGCAGGACCAAGTCAGCCTGGCGGGGGGGCGGGGGCGGGGGTGGGAGGAGAGGGCATTGCATGGGGGCAGGGAGTTGAGTGGGTGGCGGCCCTGCCCTCCAGCCCACCAGCTCACCGGCACGATGCTGTCCTTGTGCAGACAGACCACGTCTCCCACACACAGGTTCTTCCATTTCCTCCACAGGAAGCTGCGCGGGGCAGAAGCAGGGGGCAGCAGGTGTGGGGGCCCCTTCCCAGCCTTGGACGTCCCACCCTCCACCCACCGGCCTGCCCTGGTGGAGCTGGAGGAGCAGGGGGTGGGGTGCCAACACCCAGCCTCTGCTCCTGCTGCCCCCACCCGGGGGCCTCAGCCCACAGGGCGGGGCTGCAGGCCCATTCTTCCCTGCCCGCCCCCTCCTCCCACATTCCAAGTCCAGACCTTCCTGCCTTCCCCTTCGGCTGAACCCAACTCTGCCTCATCACAGGGCCCATCCCAGGCCTGGTAGACAGCAGGTGCCTCATACGTGCTGGCCTGGGTACCCCCACTGTCAGATGCAGCCAGGATGTCAGGGAGCGTGGGAGGTGCTGGATGATCCTCGGGGCACCCTCCCTGTGGTGCCCGACCTCGGCTGTGCTGGGGGCCCTGGCTTGCCCCAGAACGGCCTGCACCTGGCATCCAGCACCCAGCACCCAATACCCTGTAGCCGGCGGCGGAGCCTCACCTTTTCCCCATCAGCACCTGGCACGGCCTGTTGTTAATGATCCTGTCGCTCATGTGTCGCCCCTGGGTCAACGGGGGCAGTCAGAGGATGACACTCCCCCCGTGCAGCCCAGGGGAGGGTGCAGACGCAGGTGCCTGCTGGCGAGCCCTCACCCTGCTGTCTGTCCGGCGACCCTGCCCTCAGGGAGCAGCCGCGGGAGGGCAGGTTCTACTTGCCGCCCGAGCTGACTGTGCATGACCCGCCGTCTCCCCAGCAAGCCCACAGTCCTGAGGCCCCTACCTGTCCGCTGTGCCCCCCCGCCCCTCCCTGCCCCACTCACAATGTCGTCCACCAGGTCTCGAGTGGCCCGGATGATGAGGAGGCAGACAAGCGGGGCGAAGAGAGTGAACCAGGGCAGCGTGGAGATCTCGGGGACGCCCTGGCATGGAGGGTGGGTCACGCTGGCCCCTCAACCAGGGCACCCCCAACTGCCCGCCGCCTTCCTGCCCAGCGCGTCCGGCCCCACAGCCTGGCATCCTGTGTCCCACCTGTGTGCCCCCTGCTGACTGCCAGGGCCCAAGCCCGGCCACCTCCCCCTGCAAAGCTCAGGACAACTGCGCTCCAGACCTGCCCCCTGCCTGGAACTTCTCTCCAGGGCTGCCTCCTCTCTCTTCCATGCCCAGCTCCCATGTCTTCTCCTCCAGGAAGCCCTCCCAGCCCCAAGCTGGTTCCCTCCTTGGGGACCTAGCTCTCACTGTCTCCCCTCCTTGTAACCCTCGGGTCTGAGCTCTAAGTGGCCCCCAGACCAGTCTGGGCAGGGGTTCCCGTCCCCATCACTGGTCCCTAGCACGTGGTTTGATGACAGTCAACCTCACCAGTCCCTGAGCCACCCGAAGACAGGTATCTTGAGGGCCACCACCCGGCCCCCAGTGCCCAGAACAGGACCTGCCTTCAGTAGGTGCTCAATAAATATTTATCGGATCAATGGATAAAAGCGGAGTGTCTCACTTTACTCAGAACTGAATGAGACACTAGGTGGGGGCTGGAGTGTTCTGGGAACAGCCCACCCCACACAGGGCCCACCTCCACCCTCCACCTCACCCTCTTCACCCATGACCAGCCCGATGACAGGAAGTGACCCGGCAGGTCCCAAGAACCTGGTCTTTCCTCCTCGCCCCCTGCGGTCAGCTCCGCCTGCTGGGGCCAAAGGGGTCATGTGGCCTCCTCCTCAGATCCAGAGGAGCCACCCCTGCGCCCTCATCATTCAACACACATTGAGCGCCTCCTGTGTGCCAGGCCCTGGACTGGGCAGCGGGGACCTGGCCCCGAGGGCACTCCCAGTGTGTGAGGAGCCAGACGTTGACCCGGAAAATACACAGGCGAACATGAAGCAAAACCACCTGGGTCTGTCTGCAGAGCCACGCGGGAGGGTGGGAAGGGAGAGCTTCCTGGGGGAGGTAGCCTGAGCAGGGGGAGGGAGCGGCGTGGGCACAGGCGCTGACCCCCTGGGGCTGCCCCCACCAGCACCACCTGGAGGATGATGATAAGAAGGAAGTAGAGGTTGGACGTGCGGTGGAACTGCTCGTACAGGTTCAAGGGCAGGAAGGAGAAGATGTTGTACTTGGCTGTGTGGATGACATTCCTCTGGAACAAGAGCCAGCATGGGGGTGCTGCCCAGGCCAGGGGGCCCCACTGCCCACCCTGTCCGACCCCGCCCTCCGGCCTCGACCAGCATTAACCAAGCCCCTACTAGGTGCAGGCTCACAGCGCGCGACCCCAGGACTTCCCAGAGAGAGCTGTACGCGGGGGGGTTTAGGTAGAGCCTGAGGGACACACTGTACCATGAAAGTTTCAAAAGTTTCCTATTAACTTATTTGAACCCGAACTAGGGTGGGGCAGAGGAGACCCTCGAAACTCCAGTACCAAACCAGTGATTCCATGAGGACAAACACCAAGCAGGTGCAGGCGGAGGCAGAGCTCGGGTGGCCACCAAACTAACCCTGCGGGGAGACCCCAACAGGCCGGCAGGGCAGGGGTGCAGGGGCACGGCCGGGCCTGCGCACCTTGTACTTCCTCCTCTGCCAGCACAGGAAGACCTTCTCCTTGAACTGGCGGTTGTAGGCCCGGTTGTTGGCCTGCACCTCCCAGGTGAATGCTGCAGCCGGAAAGAGCAGGCGCCGCTCAGGGCCGGGGACAAACATGGGCTAACGACACCCCAGAGGAGGGCTAATGGGGCCCGGGGGACCCAGGGCTGTGGGAGCCGGTAAACAGATGAGAGGGCCCAACAGTAGGCGCTGGAGGAGCCCAGGTGGATCTGAGGAGCAGCCCCTCGCCCACCAGCCACCCTGAGCCGGTCCCTAGGCCCGGGAGACCCATTCACGCCCACTTCTTCTACAGAGAGGTAAATGCGGCCCCGACGGGCTATGACGTGTCCGGGTTTCCATGCCCAGCCCACACAGTAGCCCCAGTTCCGAGCCCATCTTTCAGTCATAGGGTTTTGAACTATTTGTAACCCGCCAAGAACTCCACACTGGGCCTTCTGTCTCCCCACTTCAGCTGCTACACTTGAACATCCCTTGGCTTGGTCCACTGCAGGCCCCCTCCCCCAGGCCCTGCCCGTGTCTGAGCTCAGCCCGGACGTGCACCTGAGTTCGTCTCCTCCTCAAGGTCTTCTCGGTCCTCGAGACTGCCCATGTTGGTGGGGCTGTCGGGAAGAGGGGCCTGAGGTCACACCATTGCTGGAAAGAGCTCTTTACTCCGCCCTCTTTGAGATGTCACTTCCCACATCTATCTGCTGTCCCCTCACCAGGCTCTGAAGGTCCAGTCGCCGGCTGTGTGTCCTTCCCCATTACAGTCACCTGGCCACTGCTCCCCACCCCCATGGCCACTCACAGTCCAGGCCTCCATCTCCTCCCCTGGGATGACTGCACCCAGGTCCTCCTAAGCCTCCCTGCTTCCCCTCCTGCCCCACTCGGGACACAATGTCCAGCCTGGTCAGGTGCTCAATCAGTGTTTGTTGACCGACTAAGTGGGGCCCTGGGATTTCTACGCCACATCTCCAAGTGTGTGTATGGCTAAAGGGCTCTGGGAGGTCTGAGTGTGATCTTGGGGCAGCTAACTGAGATGGAGGAGATGGCGGTGACACCCGACTTACACAGAACCCGGAACCTTCCCACTGCTGGTTCACGGTCACTCCTAGTCCTTCAATGCCCTCGGCAGCTCCCCAGATGACCCCACCCCAGCGCTCAGCAGCCCCTCTCTCCAGGCCTTTGCTCTGCTGTTCCCTCTGCCAGGAGCACCCGTCCTGCACGCCTGGCCAGAATCTCCTCACCCTTCTGCTCTCAGCTCATACTTCTCAGACCGTCCAGGCTTCTGGCGCCTCCTCCTCTGGGCTCTCTCTCTGCCTGGGTTGCCCCCATCTCAGTTCTGACCACCCTCTCTCCTCTGTTTTCGCTGTCTGGGCTGCTGGCTGAAACTGTAACCTCCCCAGGCAATGGGCTGCTGGTGTTTAAGTCATTGGTGTCCCCGGGGCCCGGGGGTAGGGCCTGGCTCAGGACCAGCTCTGAAGCTCCTGGGAGCCTGAGCAAGGCCAGCGCCCATTCACCAGATGAGGTAAAGTGAGGCTCAGGGTGACTGAGGCTCAGCCAGTGGGACCTGTAGTGGCGGGAGCCCAGAGTGGGGTACAGATGGGGTTGGAGGGATGCTGAGATGGCCAGATCTACACAAAGTTCTCCTGAGGGCAGGACACGCCTCCCCGCCCCCGGGCTTGCTTCTCCCACTCTCAGCTCACCAGAACGCCCACTAACCCCAGGGAAACCCCGAGCACTCCCGCAGCGAAGCTGCGCAGGGTTCGATGCCCAGTCCCCGGGGGCCTCCCTGGACCGGGAGATTCAGGTCCACAGGAC